AGGGAAGATACCACAATTGTTTAGCACACGTTTGGTCAAAGGATCGGCTTCACTTGTCTCTTTGACGAGTACTAAGAATGGTGATACTCACTAACGATGTCGACTACGGTGCCTGCGAAACCTTTGGGAATGTACCACATCCACGGTTCAACTCGGGAAATGATCATGCAGACAATGGACTCCGGAAAAGGTGCGTCCCTCTAAGTCTTCCTACCAATATGACCAAGTTGCGAAAACAAGGTCAAAAGGAAGTTTTATTTTATATGGCAATCGACAAAGTAAACTATTTTTCGTTTATAAGTAAGCTTTCGAAACTTTGCCAAGAAGAAATCCTACATTTGTCTTTATCATGAGTTTTAGCTGTGTTATAAGGCTTTTGTTTACATCTGAGGATGCCGATTAAGATGCTGGCGAAACGTCTTGGACTGTACCAAGTCAATTGTGAGATGCTGGAAACGAGCATGACTAGATTCGGCCTACAAGGCATACCTGTCGCGCCAACAAGTTGCAAGGATGGAGTCAAGGCAATTTTGCTTGAAACTAATCGTCAACCAAGTTTTCTGCAGAAAACTCGATTTGGGGAACTTGCAAAAGAGTCTCTAGCAAAGCCATGATAGAGTTTTTCGGTATGGTTCGTCTCTCTAGCTGGTGTATCTGACTAACCCTACCTGGATTTCGGGATTGGGCCAGTTCTCTTCTCTCAATTGGCCCAAGGAAAAGTCCTTTCTTCATTGCCATTCCTGTCGGCAAGCCGATAAATTCAAGAAGACCTTGATAAGCATGAGTATGACAGCTAGACTTGCCTGCGGCTGCATATGCGGGTGTCGGCCCTGTGTTAAAAACAAAGGATAACAATGGACTTTTGAGCTTGCATTCTTGTCAGAAACTGAACTTCCCGCCAAATTTCTCCCACACCTCGCCTCTCTAACAGGATCGCGTCTTCGCCCTATCCTTTAGACAAAGAGTCGAAGAAGAAAAAATTCTCCTGCGTGGCTTCTATCCAAATACACGACTATTGGCGAGACTTCTCAATACTGGATTCATTGCAACAAGAGACCGCTTTATTAATATTAATTGCAGGCATAGGAGACGCTGCATAAAAGATAGTCTAAAGGTAACTAGCATTCCTGATTTATCGTTTTATAAGTCAGTTTTCGAGACTACACTAGATCATATATATGAGTGGTATTCAACCTATTTCGTTAACGATGCTAAGGGGACTGGTAGTTGAATTTTTCCACAATAATATGAGTAGACCTTACGATTCCATTGAATTTATCCAAACCTTGCTTTTTTAAATGCTATTCTCATTCAGGGTGAACTGCAGTTTCGACTTCGCCTAGATCAGCTCCCCCAGCGGGACACAAACCATTACCATGTAGCGTGTAATCTCGACACGTTAACCACTAAACCACATTCCCACGATTGCCTTTGGGTCACAGAGCAGATGTGTATTTCAAGGAATGCTAGACATTTTTCCTTATTACATTTTGGGGTGGGATTGCCGACGAAGCAAAGTAGTAGCTGCTATAAAAATCGACTACATTACTTATTTTTCGTTTTATAAGTAGATTTTCGATACTATCAGTAGATCATTTATGTGAAGTGTATTCACCCTATTTCGTTTAAGGTGATACGAGGATATCATATATAGGATCTACGGATAGTATCTAAAGCCTAA